GATGTTCGCAACGAGTTGATTGATGCTGTTCCTGGAACATACAGATAACACATGTTGTCTCCTGTGGTTCGAGCACCAGCTGTCCATAAATGTACATGTGCATATGTATCTCCTGGCCTCATGGGAACATGCACTGCGGCACTTCGAGCCAATTGACAGCCCTACGTTGAGGCTCAAAAACACGCTAGTAATTGCATCGTGATCATAGAGGTTGAACTCAATCTGTGGTAGGTCTCAGTCCCCTGATGAACTCCATATGTGCACATGATGCTGCAAACATACGATTGCTCAAAGAGGATTCTGCCAGAAAAGATGCAAACTTGCGTTGAGCATGAGCAACGCAAGCGTATTTCGCGAACATGCCTTGTCTCACAATGGCACAAGAACACGCAACTATCGTCGACCTGATGCGGCCTGGACCTTGCAAGGCTGAATCGTCGTTCAAGGTGCGTCGCGCAATTATAGAGAGGCTGCACGTGATTGTCGATTCTGACTCTCCTCGCACGAGCCATCAGAATGCGGAGCAGGTGCACGTGATTAGACGCCCGCTTCTGGGCTGCAATTCCGTTCATCGCAGCATCACGGCCAGCATCACAGTCATATCCATGCGCTCCCTCTGCCATCGGCCACTTTTCTTCTGTTCAAGTATCAGTTGATATTTTTCAGTGAATATCTACATTGTTGCGATCGCTCTTTACAGGTACGTTGGCCCCGCAGAAGCTAGCAATGACAGCGCAACGTGTCGCTAAAGCTTGGATCCCCCTCCCATGATGCCCTTCTTTCAAAGCTTTAACTAATCATTACCTTTGCAGTATTTCTTGACTCACATACACTCTGCATTTCTGCTTCTACAAGAAAAACTTTGTCGCTTCGATAAAATCGATCGTGACTCAAAAAATTTAACCTTTCATCGCTATCAAGCCACCACAGATCTCCTGGGACTGTCGCAACGACACCTCTCGATGAGCTATTGACCTGCCGACGAACCGCCGTTCTCCATCCGAGCCAAAAAAGCAACGACAATTGTTCCGGTGACAGCTGTAGGCTGATGCGTAAACGCGAGCTATCTTTGCTTTCTCTCTTTTGGAACCTTGGGTGAAGTTTCGAGCTTCGTCGCCAACCAACATTTCCCCGCTGTTACGCGAACCCTATCAAAGTCAAAAGTCGAGGCTATATACGACGGCCGATGAGCTTCTCCAGCGATTTGCTATATTCACTTCCCTCCATCACGACTGCCGATCAGCGATATCTACCGCCGTGCTGCTCGCCGGCGCAACTTCCTAGACCTCCACCCCTGAGACTATAACCATCATAATCACATCACAAATACCTACCGGAATGTATCCTCAACACTCCGGGCAGGGTCAACATGCTCGGCTCAACGGCGCCGGGCGAGGCATCCCGAACTTGCTATACAACTATCAGCATACCCAACATCAACACCCTTCTCAAACGCAACACCACCAAGGACTTCAACACGACCATGGAATGCCCAACGCTAATGGCCTAGGCCATCACTCAACCTTTACCCCAGGTGTGCTTTCTAACTCGAGTCCCTTCAACCCCAATGCGCTTCAGAATGGTCATTCTGCAGGAAACCGAGGACAGCCACCTCCGAACGAGATGTGGCAGGAGCAATTGCGAATGCACAAAGATGCTGAACGAGCGCATTCTGCTATGACCGATCAACAACAACCGCACTACTATGCTAGGCTCAGAGCGTCGGAAAACAGAGGAATTGGTCCCCCACCATCAGCTAGCCAACGTGCCCACCCGGACGACGAAGACGATGGTGTTGATAGGAGACGACCCTTGGCTATTGAGAAGGAGGCAACACGGCAGGACTGGCACAATCTGGATATGAGTGGGCAGGGGTTGCGAAACTTGGCTCCTGAGCTCTTCAAGTATAAGTTTTTGAACGAGCTCTTTATCGCCTCCAATAAACTGACACGACTACCAAACGCGATTGGAGAACTACGAGCATTGCGCCACCTTGACGCCTCCTTCAATCAGATAATCGAAATCCCCCCCGAGATCGGAATGTGCACTTATCTCAAGAACCTGTTACTTTTCAATAATAACATCCAAACATTACCGAATGAACTTGGATCACTGCACCTTCTGGAGATGCTCGGCATCGAGGGCAACCCATTGGACGCGGACGTGAAACATAAAATCATGGAGGAGGGTACAAAGAGTCTGATACATACGCTGAAGGAAAATACTCCTAGTAAGTCAATGGCACACCTGGCAACGATTTATGCTAACAGTTACAGTGCCTATTCCTCCCACACCCCGAATGTCCATCGTTATACAAGAGGACGTGTCACCCAGTCTGGAGAGGATCAAGGTTTTCTCGTGGAACATTCTTTGCGACAAATATGCGACACCCCAGACTTACGGTTATACGCCCACCCGCGCCCTCGACTGGGAGTATCGCAAAGGATGTATCCTGGAAGAACTCCGAATCAGGGATGCGGATTTCCTTGCTCTTCAGGAGGTATCAACAGATGCTTTCAAGGAGGATCTTAGCCCGGAACTTGCTCAGATGGACTACAAAGGAGTTCACTGGCCCAAGTCACGGGCCAAGACCATGTCGGAGAAGGATGCGCAGTCTGTTGACGGTTGTGCAGTCTTTTACAAGCAGAGCAAGTTCATTCTTCTTGACAAGCAGCTTATCGAATTCGCAACGATTGCCATCAACCGACCCGACATGAAAAATCAGCACGATGTGTTCAACCGTGTGATGCCTAAGGACAATATTGCTGTTATTTGCTTCTTTGAGTCTCGTCTCACCGGAGCTCGAATTATCCTGGTCAACGCCCATCTCACGTGGGACTCTGCCTTGGCCGATGTCAAGGTTATCCAAACTGGTATCCTCATGGAACATGTTACGAAGCTTGCGGAGAAGTACGCGAGGTGGCCAGCTGTCAAGGATAAGAAGATGATTGTGCTACCGATGGGCGACGACGAGGTACCTGTGCCCCAAGCTGAGCCAGGCCCGAGCCAAGAGTATCGCACTAATACCGAAATTCCTCTGCTGGTCTGCGGTGATTTCAACTCCACAGAAGACTCTTCAGTGTATGAGTTGATGTCTATGGGACGTGTACCACCCGACCACTTAGAACTGAGCAGCTTCCAGTACGGTAGCTTCACGCGAGACGGTATTGAACACCCTTTCAGCCTTAAAGACGCCTACCACCACCTCAAAAACACCGCCGATGCAATGCCATTTACCAACTATACGCCTGGATTTGCCGATGTGATTGATTACATCTGGTACTCTACGAATACTCTGGAGGTAGTAGACCTTCTTGGACCCCCCGACCCCGAATACCTGAAGCGAATTCCCGCCTTCCCTTACTGGCACTTCCCTGCAGATCACATCCAGATCATGTCTGAGTTTGTGATCAAGGGCCGGAAGGATAAGAAGCACCTCCCCGATCGTGAACCGGACTTCGGCCCCGGGTCACGCGGTTGATATCCGCAGACGGGAGGGCTGGGACCTGAACCCCAAATCCTCGCATGAGGAAAATACGTCGATACGTATATCTGGATGTAGTTATTTTGGTTTTGCGTCATGGAGTTTTGAGGAATCTTGCAACGGCTCTTGGGGGCAGGGGGACGGTCGGTGGGGGGATGTTAGCGGTATGTACACAGGCAGCGGAGAAAGGGGAAGCATATTAGGTGGAATTGTAGGAATTGATTCACAATGTTCTTGTTTTTGTTCCCTCTGTGATGTGTCCTGTTACGTGAGGCATGGGCGGTTTCTTGCTTTGGCTTCTGTTATCTCCCAGGAGTATCATGAAGCTATTGGCCACCCTTCTTATATTTCTGCCTACCTGCATCATTTGTTTGTCTTGCACGGCATGGCTAAGTCATATGATGTCAGTCAGAACCAACGAGTGAGCTTGTATCTTGTGCAACCTACAAGCCACCCTTATCGAAAGCGGATGGCCGCAGACCGCATCACCATTACGCCCATTCAATGCAACACAGATAAGAGCATGCCACTTGACTACGGAGGCTTTACATGGCGTTTGAACCCAAGGTCCACCCAACCTAGATGATGTAATATTTCATTCACGTGGTTCTTTGTTCTCCATGTCATATATTTGTCACGAAATCTTCCATAAACTTAAACCTGTTCACTTAACTTCTCGGCCACTTTGATGTGTTCCAACGAACACAGATCTACTAAATACTAATATTGGTCCCAAACAACACCATTTTCTTTTTGGGGTCATCGTCAGTCAGCATGGGACCTACCTCTCACACCCAACTTTGGACCTTTACAATGCTGAGGTAGCCCGTGGCTGATGGCCTCAAAGTATTGGATGCATCGCAGCTATGCAGGCAAACCTCATCTTTGCTCTATATACGCACCCAACTGAGGCAATTTTCACTCGCTCCTTTTCAGGCGCTGCTTCAGTGACAAGAACGTTGAGAAGATGGGAAGAATCCTGATGGATAGTGTCTCTTGTCGGAGATGATTGACCTGATTTCGGGAACACATATACATATATATTGAACCGACAACTCTATTCAACAACCAACCTCAAAAGAGCACAGCTGAGCTCATTGATCAGTATAGCGTGTCCTTGGGCAAGAACACCAACGGAACTTAGGCAGAGGTCCTCAGAGGGCTCATGAGCCGTGGGAAGATGCACTTCAGTGTACAGGACATGCCTTCACGTTCACGAGACTGACAACCTCGACGAAATCTGTTTGCAGTTCACAATGTCTCGACTTGAACACTTGCAACGTATCCTCAGATCACTGGGATATATATACCCGCAGAGCACGCAGTCGACCATCAGCCAACTTCATCACCAACTTCAGTCCACTTGACGGTTCCCTGATTACTTTCAAACCGGGGTCTCTGTTGTTTTGTACTTGCGCTGGTAATCTTGGCCTATTTCCTCAACCTTCATTACATACACAGAATCAACGACCAGATCAGCGACCACCGCTTTCGAGTCATCTTCCCAGTAAACAAGATGTCTCAGTCCTTTGGATTCTCCTGGACAACTCCCCACAGCTTCATCAAGAGCTTTCGGGAGGAAAGCACACGCTCCAAATACATCAATGACTTGGTGGAGCGAATCAGTTCCGAGACAGGGAGTGGAACTACAGTTCTCCTGCAGGAGACCCTCAGAAATTATATACATCCTTGCAACATGGACCTGGCCCTCACCACAATCAACGTCATGCGGTTCCCTTTCAACACAACATCGCCTCTTGGGAACGACTACAGAAACCTCCGATATAGACGCACCATCACATTGACTGAGTCGTGGAACATCGCTGGGTATCTCACCGAAGTCTTGAGCAACGGGAAGAGACTCCACAAGTTTCTTGAATTAGCGGATCAAGTCAACCAACTTGCCTTCATCTTCGTCTCAGTCAACCACCCGGAATACTACTGGTTTAAAATGTTCTATCTGTACTCTACGGCCAGCACAAGAGATGTGATTCTATTTCTTGTTAATATGATCCGCCGTCGAATGCTGCAAGCTATCATTCGGAACCCGCCTGGTAAGCAACCTACAGATCTTGATGGTAACCCTATTGAACCAAATTTGTTTGCTAGAGCCCAGCAAGCATTTTGGCTCCACGAGTTAAAGCTTCTAGCGCGAACTCTCGAAGAGGGATGGAGTGCCAACCAAATCCAGATTCCAGGAGATGAAAACCCCGCGGATATTGTTGAAACCTTACAGGGCCCCATGATATCGACGTAAGGAGATTCCTAGAGTTGGTAGAATTGCAGCGGTTCGAGGGAACTTTTTTCGACCACGGGATTGAGGATCGAAAGAAACTAAGGGATTTGAACGAAGGCCTCCTCGGATTCTCAACGCTTGATTATCTTGGGATTCAGGGATCAGCCTTATACCTTCCTCGTAGCGACGATAGATACTCCATGCAGCTACTTTTCCAGCTTGCGGCCGTGGAAGAGCAATTGGAGCTTTTCTGGGAAAGGTACGACTTTCAATCTCCGTTTTGGTATGATGGCTGGTTCGAGAAGTATCCTGTCTCTGGCTCGATTGAGCACTTCTCACTTGGCACCGATTATTCCCGCCTCGAAAGGGAGCAAGATCACCAACAGGAGTGAGTGGCTTTTAGAGGCAGAGGAAGGATAACACAAACAGCCACAAGAAGAATCACGATGGAATATTGACAATTGTCAATAGGAGGAAGAAGTTGAAAAGAGTATCCATAAATGCTTCGACTACTGATGTATTATGTTCCGTTGAGTGTTAGATTTGTGATAGTTCGTCATGATGTAGACTAGAAAGAGCGTTTCAAAGATACAAAAATCCTGAATGATCACGTCCCAGAAAAGATAATGTGACGCTTATTAACAATGTAGAGAGGTATCTGTCGTTTCTATATATTTCCTGATCTTTCTATACAGGCCCAAAACAATGAGGAGACGAGTCTATCCACCAACGCCATCACACCAACCCAGCCTCTAGTGAAGCAGAATGTCATACCCATCCTTTGTAATTCTCACTTCTTCCTGCCCAAGGCCGTACTTGCGCCGTATCAGCTCAAATATGATCAGTCCCGCACTCGTGCTAGGAACCTGCCGTATCGCATTCCACCAAAATCCTCGATAAAGCCATTTCGTTAAGGTCAGCCCTTCGGCCGCTGCCTCTCCTCGACATACGGCTAGCGATTCTTGGTATGCATGGTAGTAGGCTCGTAGCATCCTCCATCGTCGACGTGGCTTTTCGGGGTTTGCGACTCGGGAAGCACGAAGTCTGGCGGCTTTTTCGTCGAGGTCTTCAAGGTGATCCCAGTGTTTGACTTGGAAGTGTGTCAAAGGATGCAGTAAGACCTGCTGTGTAAACGAAGCGCTGATACCACCAAGAAGAAGGAACATGGGCTCAAGGGCATAATGAGGTCGAATGAGCCTCATGCCTTCTTCTTGTTGGTGTTCATGCGTAGGACGCTTCATGGCAAGCACATCAACGATGTCCTCAGCCAGACCACCGTAGTACCACGTAACGAAGCGATAGTAGCCTTGAGCCTTGACGTACTCGAACGTACTAAAGAATATAGCGCTTCCCAGACTGTCTTTCGCGAGCGACAGACCCCATCCTGCAAAGATACCCCTGAGTCCAATGTCGCGAAGCTTCTCTGCGCTAAAAGCCCACATGCTCCGGGGTTTCCCACTGCCATCGTTTGGCATCAGATCCCGATGGTCGTACCGTGCTTGGATGGCGTCTAAGGGTGCAGCCACAACACTCTGGAGTGCGCCTGCAAGCAATCCAGCAGTGAAGGTATGCATCGGATGAGGTGGTGGATACACTCTCTTCCGCGCTTGTCCGCTCTCTTCATGGAGTCGTCCTAAAATTTGGAGATAACTCGTGTACAGCACCGCTCCAACACCAACATTCGCAATGAGCGGCGGTAAAATCTGATTCGGTATAATTCCCCATCCCTGGTGTCTAATAGCAGACGTCAAAACTCCAGGTGTCGTGCTTCTCAGCAACAACCAACTCTGTCGCATAAACACATTGAGTCGAGAAGCAGAAGGATCATTCGCAGCAGCTTTCATCATAAGCTCCGTCTGCGCCTGGTGAATAGTCCTCGCATAAGCCAGATAATCCACACGCGTTCTAAAGAAAGCCTTGGCAGGAGCACGAAAGTAAAAAGCGATGAGTTGAGTGCTCAAGGCACGAACACCAGCTGCTGAAGCGGCAGTTGCGGCATTGCTTCTAGGATCACGGTCTGGAAGCACAACGTTGACGTCGGGAGGTAACGCCGGGAGGATTCCGGTTCCATAGTCCGGGACGTCATTTCGACGATTGTTCATGGCGTTGAGGGAGTCATGTTGAGAGAAAGATGAGATTGGGGAGGGAGCCTGTGAGGGAAAGCAGGTTGACGTCGGCTTTGGGACTCGATGAGCTGGTGACTAAGCGATGTGGACCAATCGGGTGCTGCAGGTGATGATGATCTTGGCCAGCAGGTCCCGAGATCTGAGGCATCCTCATGAACAGCGCAGGTGACCTGAGATTGCAGGGCTTATCACAGGCTGACTACGATTGAATAGGATAAAAGAGACCAGCTGTAATGAACTGACACGCTTCATTTATGAATGGAATACTTGTGAATCCAGGTTAGAGGAACCCACAAACATTCATATAGGTCGTGGCTATTTATTTCACTTCACTCGATTCCGTAGAGCCATGGAGAGTTAAGGAGAACACAAGATGATCAAAATGTCGTAACTTTTCATTTCCCACCCAAAGACGCCGTCTATAAATGCAGTATCCCCTGCCGTGAGGTATTTCCAGTCTCATCCTTCATGCTATTCATTACCCTGGAGCTCGTCCTTACTCAGGCTGCTCACGTCCGTCCAGCCACTTGCTCATGTAAGGACCATCCAACCAGAAGCCAAGCTTCTTGTAGTAGCTTCTCACTCCAACACCAGAAATAACACTGATCTTGTCGCTGCCGTGCTCCTCAATCGCAATCCTCTCAGCCTCCTCCATCAGAAGGGTACCGAAACCCTGGTGCTGGAACTTGCGGGGATCGCGAGCGTGAACTGGTACAGCTGTGCCGTAAACGTGAAGCTCTCGCACCATACTTGTAGGCTGGCCTGTAAGCTCTTCTCGGTAAGTGTACTTCTCGGTACACTTTCGCAACCGAAGTAGAGCAACAAGGATGTCTTGCTTGGGGTCCTCGTAGGCCAGGAAAGTCTCCCAACCGCCGTTGGCGACGTAATCTCGTCGAACCAGCTCAATTTGGTTAGGTCGTATCTTGTTCTTGATCTCATTCACTCCAACTTCTCGTGTCCGTACATCTCGGCAGGTTGTTCCAAAGTCCTTCATTCGAGCAAGTGCCAGTTCGCGTAGGTTACCATTCTCGACTCCAGATGTGACCAGGGGCATGGGAATGTCGCGCTGAACACGGTAGATGCGGGTCCAAGGAGGAATGAGAGCCATGATTCTCGCGATGAGGTCGATCAGGCCGTTGGGAGTGTAATTCTGGTATCGCCCTGTCCTCCACAGTTCGTACAGACCTGTACCTCGAATGACCAGGGTGGGATAAATCTTGAGGCCGTCGGTTCGGAAAGCAGGATTCTCAAAGTACTCCCTGAACTGATCGATATCGCGCTCCATGCCAACGTTTGGCAAATCAGGCATCATGTGGCTAACAACCTTGTAACCAGCGTCCTTCGCGAGGCAGAACGTCTCTGCGACTGCGGCAACTGTGTGTCCCCGGTTGGAGTCTCGCGCGACATCCTCATACAATGACTGCACTCCAACCTCAAGTCGTGTGCAGCCATATCGCAACATGTCGGAAAGATGAGGCTGCAGACAATAATCAGGTCGTGTCTCGATTGTAATTCCGACACATTTGATGTTGCTCATCTCGCCAGCCTCCACGGCCTCATCAACATTGGTCGTTTGATATCCACTAAGAGCATTGTGAAGCTGAGCAATAAACTCCTCGCGGTATGACTCAGAAAGAGACATGAAGGTTCCTCCCATGATGATGTACTCAACTTTATCGACAGAATGGCCAAGAGACTTGAGCTGGTCAACACGTCCTCGAGCCTGCTCGAAAGGATCGTATCGTGCACGAATCGCTCGCATCGAGGTAGGTTCATAGCCAGTATAAGACTGTGTGCTGTACTCGAAGTCGGAATCAGGACCTCCAGGGCAATAAACACAAATGTTGCCAGTATAAGCAATATGGGGACATCGATGGGGCTTGCACATGACAGCGACAACAGCAATACCAGAAGACGTTCGAATGGGCTTCGCAATGAGCTTTGGCAAAATGTATTTCTTGTAGTGTTCGGGAATGGAGGCGATGATGGCGGTCAAAGGTGGGATGTTCTGGAGCTTGTGCTTCTTGGCGAGTTTGTTTCGCAGGGAATTGAGGTTGATATCGCGTGTGGCTCGGCCAGCCTTGCTGGCTTCGTGGTCTTCGATGAGAGCATTCGCGACGTCGGCGCAGCATCGCAGGAAGCGCTCGCTCTCGGGAGCCATGTCGGGCTTCTTCTTGATCGGCGCGGCCGTCACGGTCATGGTGGCGGTGGCCATGTTGATGGTTGTGGTCTTTCGAGAAGACTAGAATTATTGAGGATGTCGGTTTGCGTAGCGAGGGATTGTTGAAGTGGTTGTAGAAGGCTGACTTTGTGTGTCAGTCAAAATGACATGGATGGGAATGAGTTATCGATCTTTGCCCCTCCAAAAGAAGCTTCAGATGGAAAAATCGTGGTGGGGCTGAGAGTTTTCCTTACCCAATGCGGAGATGGGCAATTGTCAAAGTCATGGTCACGTGGACCCTCAATCCTCAACATCGAAGTAGATATTTTGACTCTTAGAACTGGACAGCTCAGAGCTTTATTACCATCAGGCCTCGGGGTATACGGCATTTGTCATCGATCTGGTCAAGGGAGCCGTCCCCTAGTAGGCCTCGAGACCTTTAACCAGATGCGACCTTGACGAGGGTTTTGTACGTTTTCCTTCGCAGTAGAGTACGAGTGAGCTTTTCCTCGGGTTTCTTGCGTTTTCCTTCGCTTATGATAAAGATATAACCGCTTGTGTCCTAGCGGGCGGCCACCATACAATCCACCAGAGTGCCATCCACTAGGGAGGTCTATGTAGTCGCGGGGGCTGTCTCAGTCTCTGTCTCCTTGGAGACCTCCAAGGCTTCGGCGAGTTCCTTCTCGCGAGCTTCTCGCTTTGCTCTTGGGCAGTTCTTCGGCGGTCCATCCTTGGCTTGGAGAGTGGTATAGTCATAAGAAGCGGACCGGCCATTGTGTGGGAACCGCTAGGTACGTCCACTAGCATCCCGGTGCACGAGCTTGATGAGGGCCTCATGTCTAACCGTCGATCTCCCATATCTACGCCGAAGCGAGACTTTAAAGTGAATGGCCGTTTTCCGGCCGCCAGACTGGGTCTTTGGGTTGCTCCTGTTTGATAATAGTCAGCTACAAAGAGGTAGGGAGTCCTGTTTAGGTAACCAACAGTATCTCGACATCGTCGTATTCTCCGAGTTCCTGTATCTCGACGGCAATCCGTCGCAGGGCGACTCTCAGCTCACCCGTAACCGTGCACTTGGTATCAATGAGCATGCTGGGCCAAAGTAAAGATAACTAATTTATAGAGAATTGATGATAATAAAAGAAAATCAACTATTAACCAACTCTATTGTAGCACATGAAGACAAAATACAACAGAATAAGGTTTCTGGGACGACAGAGATAAACGCTACTGTGAATTGTCGATACTACTTTCCTTACCATACTCATCCTGACTTATAAGGTAGGGATATGACAACTTAGATGGGCAAAAAGAGTGGAAGGCCCATACCGTTACTCCTTTTGTTTATTCGCTATCATATACATGAAACAAAAGATGACTCTCTCATTAATGGACTAGTATTAAGAAAGCCGCCTCTAATAAAGGGAGGGAAAATCTTGGTGCTTTATGCAAGTATTAATCAAGAATTGGGATTACAAATATATCTCAAGGTTAATAGTATCGTTATTGAACAGACTAAAGTCTCGGTCAACTTGATCAAACTTAATCAATAAGGTTGCTCCCAGCTGCAGCATTTTCGGTAACTCAAATTGATATAAACCACTCGAGCGAATGAAGCTCACATATTAGCTTAAGAGACAAAGTAACTTTGTGCGTGCCCCGGCGAACCTTCTCACATGAAACTCTGATAGCTCCTGCCTAGGTATATAAGAGACCTTCGTCCCCCTCCTTCAGCTCGTTCTACACCAGCAGTCTTCTCCATCCAACAACTTTATTTCTATTCTCTTCCATGTCGCAAACGATAGAAATGTGTTTCTTGTCGGACACCGATCTTGATCTCGAGACAGATCTTGATTTCCCAGATGATTTCGAATCGCCACAAATTGACTGTGAATATCCCATGTACGCAATGGGGGGTTACCACCCTGTTCATCTTGGCGATCTCTACGACGATGGTCGGTATCGAATAGTCCACAAGATTGGTGCTGGAGATACTTCTATGATATGGCTGGCGCGCGACTCTTCGACTTCGAGTTGGGTGGCTCTTAAGATCCTGATGGCCGATCAACCGCCGAGCATTGAGGAGAACATTATCAGGTGCCACGACATTCTGGCCCATCACTATCAAGATAAAATCGAGCCTCGGTTCATTACATACATGCGATACTTCCACATTGATGGTCCCAACGGCCGTCATCTCTGTTTGGTTCTTCCCTTCTGTGGTCCAAATCTGCACTCTTTGTCGAATTATATGAAGAGCAGAATGAAGCCGCAATTTGTTCAAGCACTCGGATATCAAGCAACAGAGATTGTTAGGGACTTACATGCCCGTGGTATCTGTCATGGGAACATTAGACCCGCAAATCTACTCCTGCGAATGCGCAATCTGGACCATCTCGACGACCAAGGAATTTATCGCCTGTTTGGTCAGCCCATAATCGACGAATTAAAGACTGATTCTGGTAGGATTATGGGCCCGGAAGCTCCTCGTTACGTTGTCGGCTTTCTCGATTTCATGTCAAGTGGCGATGATATTCTTTCGAACCAATTAAGTCTCATTGGTTTTGATCATGCCTTCGATATGTCGTCACCGAAGACAATACTACCCCTGCCTGAGTTTCTGGCGCCTGAGATAGCTATAGGAAAGCTAGCCAGCCCAGCAAGTGATGTTTGGGCTCTGGGCGTCACAATTCTGAACATGCGGTCCGGCATCTCACTTTTCCCCTATCATGTCGATTGCCCAGCACATCTTATTACAGAGTGTGTGAAGTACTTTGGAGAACTACCGAAATCTTGGGAAGAGCCATATTACGATGTGGAAGGCCGCCCAACGTCAGACAAGACTAAAGGCCGGCCAAGGGAACTCTCTGATGAGGTCTGTTCGCTGAAGCATTGGATCAGCGACATTTGGGACAAACCAACCCAGCCCAATGAGAATAAGTCCGCACCAGCGAGGCCCTTTATTGTACGAGATGAAGATGGATCGTATCCCAGAAGCTACAGCTGGCTAGGTGGCTATGTTTCCGACATCATCAATTACGATCCCCAAGACATAGATCGTCTGACCTCCATATGTGACACTATGCAAAGACCATATCCAGAGCATTACGAGGACAGGCTTTGGAAGCCATCTGCAATCAAAATCAACGGCACCTATCTCTCAGAAGGTGGGGGAGTGGGATGGCTTGTTTACCTCCCAGGGAATTGTGACATTGAATGTAATACCCGATCATTACCCAGGATCTCAGCGCTAGAAGCTTATTTGCTACATGATCTGCTGAGAAGAATATTCGTCTACCAGGAACGAATAAGTGCGAAGGATGTGTTGGAGCATCCCTGGTTCAGGATGGTTTAGGGGAGAACAAAACACAGGCAGCTATTCGTTATTTCGAACTATACTTAAGCTGCAAACCTATATCTGTTATTTGAGCAGTTGAGTTGTGCTAGATATGAACTTGGAGAGCAAGTGACCCTGTGACTCTAAAGTGTTATCAAAATTACTGCCTAAGAATCTAAAGTGCGTCTAAGTTTATACTGAACTTGCCTAAGTCTCTTCATCGTTTAGGATTAAGCCACTATCCTGAGAACGGCAAGGTATTTTTGATGATATCCCTCTTCAAAACCATGTCCCTACAATGGCAGTGGGGTCCATAGAGCCAAGACCACTCGATGAAGCACGTGGGCCACGTTTATATCAGCCTCAGATCCTTCGAAGAATCTGACACAAACCATCCGAGTTTAATTCCATTAAAGACCTTTTGAGGAGTTTATGATCAGTTAATCATGCTTTAGAGGATGGGGAATCCTTCACACACAACTCACAAGTCTGTTATTCTTGAATAAATTGAGGTTTAGACTCTGAAAAAGGACTAGACTTGCTCGAATCGGTCACTAAAACAGGGAATATCCATCACTTATGTTCTATCCGTGATATGGGATAACTTTCCTGAAGGATTGGCATGTAAGTTGCTTATTCGCAGGACTGAGAAGAGTTACGCCAGGGAACCTGTGATATAAGGTTGCAACTAATCCTGATTTTTGTTATGCATAAACACTAAATATCCGCAAGCTCAAGCTAAAGTGATCCTCATTTAGCACTGTCGCCATTAAGTTCTCCAATATTGGACAGCGAAACCCCCCACGGTTGATGATGAGTTGAAATGGAGTAAAGGGTTCCTGATTTTACAGGCCCCGGTGCAAACCAAAGAGACGTTGCACTTTTCTCCCAAGCGGATTCAACCAAGATCGCACTATCCATATTGGAGGATGCGCATGATGCCGTCAAAAGTGCAATGCAAGACGCAGGCTAATACACAAGTACTTGAAAGTAGGATCTTCAAGACTGCCTCACCCTAATCGTTCATACAGGGATTCCCATGCAAATGATCTCCCAAGCTCTGTCTCTAACCCAAACGGAATTCCTTATGAAGCAGGGACTAATAAACAAAGTCTGGGCCCCTGTGTTAAGACAAAACATACCCCTACCACTACGTGCCTTCATCTTCACTTCTAACTGGTGAACTCGCCAAGAGACGGGCACTAGATTAGCGAGAAGGATTATTCAGGACCAAGATGATTCTGAACATCAACACCGAGTGAGGCTGAGGAAGCTCAGAAGGATTCAAGAGTAAATTCAAAGGTTGCATGACGCCCATCTAGGGCTTACTTTTGAATTTGATCTGCTGATCCTTCGATATTATGGGTTGAGAAACTAGTGATGGTAAGAGTATATAATAGCTCGAGAACTCCATGATGAAGATGATGTTGAATAAAGATAAGAAGCAAGCTACGAAAAGGCCGACTCCAAAATGGCACGCTGGATACAACCTCTTCTTCTGACCATTTCGGTCCTCCTTTCTCTCTCCTCTACTGGCACAGCCCATCCCGCAAACAATCATGCAATTTTCCCCAAGCACGCTTTGGTCCCCCCAGTTCTTCCCCCTAACGCTTTCAAGCGTCAAGATGCACCGGCCACCGAAATCACTCCTGTTCCAGAGGCGAAGCAAGCTGAGGATGTCTCACAGCCCACCGCTACAGTCCCCTTCGAGGCACCCATCCCTGCTGAGGATACAAACGACTGGCGCTCTATGAACTGTGAGGCTGATGGTGTCAAGGACCATACTTTGTATGGACCTGATCGTTGGAAGAATGTCGATGCTGGTGATGCTTGGATTGCTGTTATTGAAGGGTGGAAGATGAACATTACTGGTGGGCGTGAGCAGAAGCACTTTTCTAATAATGTGAGTTTCCAGGTGAAACATAAAGAGGTATTGTGGCTGATATCTGTAGGTTTCCAACTTCTTTCACGGCCCCCAAGACATGTTCTGCGAGACATTCAGTGATGAAGGCAGTGGATGTGAAGATCTCAACCTCCAGTGCCACTCTACTAGTGTTCCTGCTGGTTACTTCATTCTTCACTCCTTTGAGAACATCTTTGCTGTGAGTCTATTTCAAGATCTCGGAAGCTCAATTTCCTAACAATGGCAAGATGCACTCCAACATTTGGAACGCTGTTGGCGATGCCGTTCGTGATAACGACATTGGCACCATTGCCTCAGAGTTTGGCAAGGTCCCTCCCAAGGAGGGAGGTCTTGCTACTGCTATTCTCATCGATATTGCTTTGATGGCTTGGGGTATTGTTATGGGCCCTGCTTGGAACAAGCGTATGTTGTTCTTCTCATATTGATGGACACGGACTGACTATGGACAGTGATCGGCCCCAAGTTCAGTGATGGCACTAATGCTGGAACGCTGAAGGATACTACCAATGATCTTGTCAAGAACTCTTTGACACTCACCAAAGATATCCTCAACGGCAGAGCGTATGTTTTACCACCCCGTTTCATTTCTCAACTGACAATTTCGCCAGCCAAGACCAGCTTGGGGTCCAGAACGGTCTCACTGCTCAAATGCAAGGCCTCACCGAAGGTTGGAAGGACGGCGTCCTCGCAACCCAAAAGTGGCTCTTTGGCGGTTCCGAAGACGGCTACAATCAACTCGGTGCCATGATTTCTGATGCCTCCATGTTCGGCGACAACTGGCTCCTCGACCGTGGCGACCACACCAAGCAAGTCAAGCGCGCCATTAACGCCTTTTTGATCCCTATGGCATGGCAGTACTCTCCCGATGTCATCATTCCCTTCATCGCAGAGTCTGATGTTGCTTGCGACAAAGATCCTGGCTGGAATAAGGAAGCTACTTTCACGACTATGTACCAGCACTGGATTGATGATGGTGCTTTGAAGGACGGCCGTTTCTGCTTCAATGGGAAGTCCTATTGGCTCCTTGGTGGTCGCGATCGTAACACCAATTGTGACAGCAAGTCTGGAGACTCTGACTGTGGTGGCTTTGCTCTTCCTCCTGGATGGCAGTCTTTGAAGGACAAGAAGTTCACTGACATCTCACTCGATAACGTCATTATTGGGTAAGCTTCCTTCATATACTCCCGAAAAACAATACCTTACTGAATTTATAGGTCTCTCAATTCAAAGGCTGCTAATGGTGGTAAAAACGGCTTCAAGCTTGATCTTGGAGATGAGCCTAGCCGAGAGGTCCTTGATAGCCTCGCTGGTAGTGGTATCGAGGCTCCTGGTGTCTTCAACATCCCTATTTGCACTATGGATGAAATCATTGAGAACTACTACCTATGGTACGGCAATAGTCGGGATGACATGACCAACTTCCCCTGCAACGTTTGAATTCGGTTATTGATACTGTGTTTCTTCTTCTTGCTCTGTAATCTCTTCTGCACCGACATCTTGAGGCTTCTCTTCTGCAAAGCTCGCTGTATCTCGGTTACTTAATTCGAAATTTCTTTTGCTCTATATATCAATTCGTACATCCAAACAAGGAGCCCCAACAGCTAGTGCTTTACTCTGACTTAGACTTCATCTCTGCTACTGAACCTGGGATAAGCTTGATAATTGAGACCAGAAAAGCGTAGTCTGCATAGGTCAGGCCATATCGTGAAGAATAAAAGCGCCGTATGTGTTCATCAATGTTGCTGACCCTCCTGCATCGGTCAGATTGGCTGTCTGATGCATCACATGACCTCAGGACCCAAGCAAGTGAGATAAAACAAAAGACCCTCAAACTCGTTTCAGAACCAGTCTCTTCGTAGTCAGATCATACCACCAAACCATTCAACGATTGTTATGTTGAGCAAATCTTGCCTTTGATTATACGCAATTACTACACGAGGACCCTCACTGCGGGGTTAGCTTACAATGGCCTCACTCAACCTCAAGCGAGCACCATACCCAACCGGGGATACTGAAGATGATATTCGAAAAGACCCGAAACTTTGCCGAACATGCTGGAATCTCTACGGAGGTTCGACTGCCACTGCTGTTCCTCTGGCTGGTATAGCTATGCACGAAAATTCTGGTTCCATCAACGCAGGCAGAGCGGCTACGGCTGGTAATCTAGATGAAGCTCCTACTTGGGCAGGGCGAGGTCGCATCGACTATGCTTCGTGGCAGATCAGCGTCTATCTGCCTGATATTCCTGGGACAGTAGCTGGAGGTTGCCCTTCTTGTTTCCTTCTCCAAGAGACTTTGAAGAAGTTGACCAAAGGATCAGTGGATCCCAGTGATCCTGAGCTATGGCTGGACATTGTCTTCTGTAAGGGGAACGTCTTAAGGATGAAGCTTATCCGTGGGAGCCCTCCTGATGACTTTGACATGTTTTCATCCGGCGGTGGAAGCACGGATGGAGACGTTCTTGAGAACTTCGAGATATACACCCTCCCTGGTAAGACACGCAATTCACTGCCTATAGCGATAGCTCACACATATAGGTTCGCCCTGCCCATGGCCAACTATTGGCTCATCGATGAACGTTGAACGCCCTGACTGGAGTCTTCCTGCTGAAATTGGTGGACATGCAAGCCATATCGAGCCAGATCCAACTTCCAAGTCATCTTTCGACAGGGTTAAAAGCTGGATCAAAACTTGCAAAGATACTCACACAATCTGCACAGAAGGCGAGGCTTCATCAAACCCGCAGCTGCCAAAGCGAGTCATAGATATAGGGCCTGATACCAATGATGGAATCCATATCTTTGTTCACGATGACTCCACCCAGCAGATTACAGAACCATATATTGCGTTATCTCATTGCTGGGGAAAGACTCAGCACTTGATCTCAACAAAGGCAACTCTTGACCAGTGGAAACGAAACATTCCGTTCGACCGCTTCGCCAAAACATTCCAAGATGCTGTTATCATCTCGAGAGAGTTGGGCATTCGATATGTCTGGATAGACTCTCTTTGCATCGTTCAAGATGACAAGCAAGACTGGGAAATCGAAGCAGCGAAGATGGCATCCATCTATAACGGTGCAGAGCTTGTACTAGCGGCCACTGGATCCGCTGATGGGGCTGGTGGCTGTTTATTTCAAAGAGAGCCTTTCGTCACAGTTTCCGGATCATTTCCCGACGGAGTGCCATTTGAGATCTATGGAAGAAAGGCGGTGAAGCATGCAGTCTTTGGTTGGAACACAGACCCAAACGGGTCCAAGGGATCATCAAACCCTATTGTTGGAACCACGGTCTCTGAGGTCTATGATTATCCTTTGATGACAAGGGCTTGGTGTTTCCAGGAAAGGCTCTTGGCAACTCGTATTCTCCACTATACCAAGAGTGAGATGATCTTCGACTGTCTTTCTTCAATGGAGTGCGAGTGCGGTGCTCTGGAGAAACATGAGGATGACCCACTGGTACCTGCTCGTCGAATCATGAAGACAGGACACAAATTCATCACCGGAACAAAGAGCTACCGAGGCTCATCTACCAATCCCGCAGCCCCCCTAAAGGGAGAGATCAAAGAGTTCATAGAACATCATGAACTCTGGCGAGACTTGATTGTTCAGTATTCCCAAAAGAATATCACCAAACGAACCGATGGCCTCCCAGCCGTTGCAGGATTGGCTACTGAGTGGTCTAATAAACTTACAGGAAGATACCTCGCAGGTCTTTGGGAGAAGGATCTGCTCAACGATTTACGCTGGATGCCTGATGAAAAAGACTCGGGTGAGGAACCAGAGTACATCGCACCGAGCTGGAGCTGGCTCAGCGTTCATCGTGGTGTGACATGGGGAGTTGAGAGCTTTGAGTTTGACAAGTTCTTTGTGACCGTGGATTTTGATCGTACAGCATGCCCTCTTAGTGGGCACAACCAGTTTGGAGCCGTGGACTCTGGGTACATCTTTCTCACCGGCCGCGTCATGCCTATAACCTTTTCCATCGACGGAAATATGGTTTGGTTAGAAAAACCAGGGAATGATACAAGAAAACCATTTGACAGGCCGGATAGCCTTTGGAGGCTGCGAAACCTGAAGAGTAATGAGCTATTTTGCCTCAGATTTTCAACAAGAATGAGCACGAGAAATGCTTGGGATGACGATGCGGCGATGGTTTTGGTCAAAGCAGATGATATGATTTTGAAGAAGCAGCCCGAAGAGGTTCAGAAGTTTGAAAATGTTTTCCAGAGGGTCGGATTTATCACGAATTATATGACCCAGGGCTGGAATCATGAGAGGGACTCGAAGGAGATGGGGATGTACATCATTTAGCTGCTCAAGGTTTCGTTAACATGGGCAGAGTTGAATAGATCTGGATACATTGAACGATTGGTCAGATAAGAAAGTGGAGGCTAGCTGATGAAGACAACAACGGAATGGAGAAGTTTTCAGTTCATGATCTGATCTATCAAGGTACCAGTAGAACCAGAGCATCCACCCTTTGCGTGACATCAGCCATGGCGGTGAAGATGAAAGTGATCAACCCATCGACCGACTTAGGATGCAATACCTCGAATAGTCCGTCGATCTCAACAACGTGACGAATTCCATGGTCAAGAAATGAATAATTGGTAGATAAATTAAGTTCACCGATGCTCTAAGCGACATATCCCACCCGGAGCGGAATCTATCCCGCCGGGAACTTGGTATTCGATGCCCCGCTAGGTTCAATCGGTATGATGTTTGCGAAACATCGTACATCACTTAAGCGTGGGATAACCAAGCATATGTGTTACAATTTCATAGATAGCACGTGCCAAGGAGATCGGAGACATGCGCCAATTGCATGTTTTATCTGGTGATAGAAAAGTTACACGGTGAAAATTCTTTAGTCTTCAGAAACACGAGATGTCGCTTCTAGACATGACCTGATGTTATTGACTAGTGGCGGAGCCCTACCGCCGCGCTGGGTCCGGATCTGATGTGATCGGCCAAGCTCGGAATTACAGGACTTCTTTTGGAATTCATCGCCCGGTGTAACATCTCATGTTGCATATGGTGTGACCGAAGAATATATGGAGATACTGATTACTTATAAAAGAAAGACCTTCAGCTCCAGGGCTGAGGGCTGTATGTTCTGTACTACATTTAGCTATAAGTCATTCAATCTATTACAATGCCAAAGTACGTTCTCACAGGCGCAGACGGCAATCTCGGCCGCATCGCAGCAAGCTTCGCCACAGAAATCGCCAAGCCCGGCGATGAACTCGTCTTCACCACATACAAAGATGAAGCTATCCCCGCTGACCTCCGCAAATCATGGACCGACAAAGGCGCAAAAGTCGTAACTGCCACCTACGATGACATCGAGAGTCTCAAGGTGGCTTTCCAAGGCGCTGAAGCTGTGTCTCTCATCTCAACTTGGCTCTTCGGTGAAGGTCGACGTCGTCAGGCCCAAACTGTCGTTGACGCTGCCAAGGCATGTGGTGTCAAGAGAGTTTGCTACACTTCGTTCTGTGGAGCTGGTATAGAGGCTGAGAATGAGGAGGATATTCCTTTCCTTCCCAGAGATCACCACTTTATCGAGAAGATCATCTATGCTTCTGGTTTAGAGTACAATATCCAGCGGAATTACCTGTACGCGGATAACATCCCAACTCTCTTTGCACCCTCGTGGAAGTTCTGCGGTGATCGCTGGCTCGTCAACACACACGGCAAAGCAGGCGCATACGTTGCCCGCGAAGACTGCGGCAACGTCCTCGCCGCTCTGCTCCTAGGCCGCGGCGAACCTAACAAAGTGTACGAGATCACAGGTCCCAAAGCCGTCACCAACGAGGAGGTTTTCAAGTGGATGTGCGAGCAAACAGGGTACAAGGGAGAAATTGTCGATCTTCCTGATGAGGAGTTGAAGAGTTGGTGGTTGGATCATGGATTGCCCACCGACTTCTTTGGTGACTTCTCAAAGTTGCCCATGAAGTTGTGTATTGGTGATCTTTTGTGCTGTGGAGAGATGGTTGCGACTGGGTTCATGGCTGAGACGAATGATAATGTTGAGAAGTTGACGGGGAGGAAGCCGATTCTATATCAGGAGGCTTTGTTGCAGTACAAGGACTTGTTTCCGAAGCCATAGATATTCTTTTTAGAATGCTTTTTGTTAGCTATAGAGTAATGTAATTTGCCAGTTTGTGTGGTCTTTTGCTCAGAGTGAAATATACTGAATTCTATCTGACCGAAGCAACTTGGACATAAAATTGTATCACCTTGATCTATCTAATTGGAGCTTGATCCTCCCTCTTGCCGTCAGCCTTGTTCAAGGCCATGGAGCTTTTACCCTTACAACGAAGACTTGAACAGTGATTGGGCTACGATATAAGGTTGGCATAAACTTGGACCTTGAGTTGCATTGACTTTGGACTGCCTTTCATTAGGGAAAAAACCGAGATTGATCCTCGAAACATGCAGCTGGCAGCAGGCCACTGCTTGATATTATCCAGACTTCAGAAACCAACTCCTGGTATCGTGACGGGCGAGTCGAGCTTGGCAAACTGAATACATAATACGAGACCCCTGATCATAAGCAGCAACATCCGGTATGGTGTAGTGGCTAACATTTCGCGCTCTCATAACTTGAGGGATTAGTACCGCGGAGCCCAGGGTTCGATTCCCTGTACCGGAGAGATCCTTATACTTTTGCAATTTCGTTCAATCGCTCAACGTTTAGCTGAGCTTTTAGTTTGTGGCGTTAAGTGTTCAGCCCTGCCGGCGCAAAAGCAAATTCACGATGGCGCCTAACGCCACTTCAATAGTATTTACTAGTGATATGCACGATGTGATTAGATGTAGATCCAAAACACGGTCAGGGGAAAGAGATCAATGTAGATCGACGGGTAAATAACCCGACCTTCCCGCCGTTTTTTCTTGGTTGACTCTTTGTTGTTTACACTCATTCACTCTTTCCCGCCGTTTTGACTGTCACTCGTTTTTACTCGTCGTTATGCTGTCTTCCAACGTTCTACGTGCTCTGGCAGTCTTTGCTGCTGCTGTAAATGCAGGGCCCTGCCGTCCGTCGACAACTCTAGCTGGAACCACTACTGAGGTCACCTCAACCGCAACTGTTGTTGGCAGTACTACCGATCTCTCATCCACTACCATCGAGAGCGCCACAGAGACTGAGACAACCAATATTCCCACCACTACCACGGCGATTGCTGAGGAGTCGACTACTACCACCGCTATCATCGAGGAGTCTACCACTACGGATATCCCTACCACTACCACGGCCATCGCTGAAGAGTCTACCACTACCGACGCCGCAAGCACCACGACCACCGCAGCGGTTAATGATTATCCATGCTCTACTAGTGACGACTGTGCTCAATTCGCAGACCTGTGTCTCGATGGGCTGCTGAACATATGCTACTGCGACAGCGCCGAATGCGTGCCGCAGCTCTAGATTCTGTGCCGTCATCGTGCCAATTCTATCAGCCCACTCAAGCTGATCAAACTTGAAATACGGCTGTCGGTTTGGGTTCAATAAGTTACTGGGTATCATGTCCCGCACCGCAGAGTTGGAAGACTTGGTGTATTATATGTTCAATTCTATCTGAGAGAGGTTGAATCAAGGAAATGGACTTGTCATTATTCCTTGAAATTTATATGTTGACCTACAACTTTCCCTCTGGTTTAATATTAGGATAGGGGTTTCTAATAAAACGAACCAATAATCCGTGCTTCATTCAGGTTTTTAGTTCTAGTCTAAGCTATCCATCAATGATCGGTGGACATTACCAACCAAACTAATATAGCATCAGCACTAGAGTGAACTATCGAACTTTTATTTTTTAAGCTATCATTCCCGGCCTAATCGCCTTCCTTCTTCGTTCCCAGCAATTTCAACAACCCCCTTTGACAATAGACGTAAGAGCGCCACTATCAAACCCCTCGACTCTTTGTGAAATGTGTGAAAACTAAGAAGATGCATACTGAAAGTTTCCTGTCGGGTTGATGAACAGTAAGAAGTGGTGAGTCTATAGAGAAGATCACACCTCATACTTATGGTCTCGGTCATGACAAATAAGGCTTGTTCTGCATTAGATACTAGAAACTATGTATCAAGCTGTCTATGTAAGTGCCATTCTATTTAGTGGTTCCCTCCTTAGAAACGATTCATACTCCGAAATATTTCTGTTCCAGATTGGGGCTCCCACCACGGCCAGGATATCAGCGGCTCTGCGCTTCTCTCTGTCCTCCAACTCTTGATCAATACCAGCTGCTATAAGAAGATTCGCGATTTTGTAAAGCTGATACTCTTCTGCGTCATCTGTAGTTTCGTAACTCTTTTTCGCTCTACCCAGAGCAATTTTGTTGGCAACGTGATGCAATGCAGTCCAGCCTTTCAGATCTGTTTGGTTGATAGATGCTCCAGAGTCCAAGAGGAACTGAACAGCCTCTATTGGGTCAGTCAGTGAGCTGCTTCTATCTATTGAAGAGACGAATACCATAAGAGGGGTATCTCTATTGGGATATGGTCCCAAATTCTGTAGGGTGATGCCATGTCTGTGTAAATATTCCATAATAGCCCGTTTCCAGTATCTGAAGCCACGGTTTTCTCGATACAGGTTGGGGCCATCTGGAGATGCACCCTCGCAAAGTAAAACTTTTGCATACTTGATGAAGAGCATCTCCTCGAGTGAGCTTGAATCGGCATCACTGGAGAGACACAGTAAGGCTTGTGTCACTTCCTCTAACTTGGAATCAGGTTGCGCCCAGATCTTGACTTCAGAGCAACAAAGAAACTTGACTACATCAAGCCTTCGGTTGGTCACAGCAGTGCAGATGGGTCCTTCTAGCTGCCGAGAGGCTTTGATCCTTGGGGCACCAGCCTCTACCAGTAGCCTGACCAGATATTCATCGCAGCGACTAATAGCAGTAGCCAAAGCAAATGATGAATCCTGCCATACACTGCGTCGGGGATAGCGGTCGAGCAATAGCGAAGTAACCTTTTGGTGGCCGCCGAGGATTGCAAGTTCAATGGGCGTCATAGCCACGATCTCCGCTGTGCTTAGTTGTAGTGTTCCACCTCTTTGGACCTTGATCAATCGATCCTCACTCCTTGGTCTTGTTCGAGAAAAACTGTGAAGCGAGAGGATGCTGGCTTGCCCTGTAGAGGAGAGAAAACTTGTGCTAGCAACAATCTTCCTAACTATGGCAGTAATACCAAGCAGACATGCTAATTGGAGTGCTTGGAGCTGAGTTGCGGAAGTCGTACCTTTTGGGTGTTCGAAGAATACAACATCACAGTCATTGATCTCTTCAAGCCCCCCAATCGTGTCATGATGCTCGGATGCTGTCGAGAGAATGGTCGATATATCTCCCCGCCTGTGTCTCAGTTTGGAGAGATAGGAGAACCAGAGTCTTCGATTTTCATGCTTTCGACTTAGGAAAGTCAACGCTCTTTTTGCCAAGGTCTCACTGCAAAGTTTTTCGGGGCATTCTCGGAGGTGTCTGAACCAAAATCTTGCGGCATACGGTAAAACATGAGCATACTCCACACAGGTCTTCCTTTCAGCCTCGACTTTAAGCCCTTCCTCCATAATTTCCAAACAGCGAGAAGCGAGAATCTCATGGCTGTTATCTGGGATGATTTGAAAGAAGCCAAAGTCAGAATCTGTGTCGCTTGGGGTTCGAAGAACATAAGGTTGCAGCAAATAATCTTTTGCTGATCGGTGGGAGAACTGAACGGTTTCTATGGTTTCATATCCAGAGCCAAGTCTTCTTATCTCGGTCTTGGTCATAAGAGTCCCGCAATAACTTAAACAAGCTTTCGTGTTTATCAAAGCAGTATCTGGCGTTGAAAATTCATCGCTGGTGAGAGTGCTTAATTCCTCAAGTCTCAGCGGATGATATGCCAAGGCTACCCAGGTCAAGAGTGATCGTGCTTTTTGGCGAAATTCTAGCGGAATGGCCGGCAGAGATCTTTCATAGACGGCGTCAATGTCTCCAGCAAGATCTTCAAGATACTGTGCTGCAGTGCCTTCGTCTTGCCCTTTGAGTCCAGAAACCGCTAAGCTCGCCCAGAGGAACGAGCTCCCAGCCTTTTTTGTGAGGCTCTTGTTCATCTGTTCTTGAAAGTCTTGAGACCAGCCATGATAATGTGCGATATTCGAAACACGATGATTGATCAAACGATGTACATCTTGAGCGTTGTACTTGTGTGCATCTGAGTCTAGGCAGATTACTGAAAACCCAGTAGGAAGATTGTCCTGCTGGCATGGATGGCGACTAGTCAGAAGGATCCGGAACTTTCGACGACCTTCATTTTCTGAAGATAGCAGCTCCATGAACCTCTCCTCCAGTGATTTGATCGATAGCTCATCACTTTCGTCAAGCCCATCAACAACACATGTAACATTTCCTGCGTTGGGATCCTGGACCATGGCCGTAAATATTTTCCAAAGAGTTTCGACAGAGTTGGTCGCTAACGCAATGTTCCCTTTGTCGGCCGATACAGTCCTCTTGATCCCGTGATCTAAAAGTTCTAGACGTAATCTGCAAAGCTGCCAGATAAAACCACGAAGGACAGCCGCGGCAGAGTTGGCGTTGATATTTCCGTGGTTGCAAAAGAAGTATAAGACTGTGTCAGTTGACATACAAGCAGCGAGTTTTTCCAGTTGCTCAGTTAGGTAAATCGCCAACATAGTCTTGCCGTGACCTTCGCCGCCCTGGATATAAAGGCCCCTGGAGTCACCGGAGCCTGAGAGCCATGACCTGTATGCGGATTCTTCAGTAATCCACGTACATGTTTCTTTGACTATTGGCCCTTTTGATGATACAAGGGATGCACGGTCTTCCCTGGGATCTGTGACGAATAAAAGGCTCAAGAACTCTTTCTCGCGATCTTTGAAAGTATGAGAATATTCCAAAGAACGACCATCAGACTCTGAAGCCCAAGAGAGTGGTCTAAACCTTTTAATAATTAGATCAAGCCCTAAGTAGATACTTCGAAATGGCACATACCTTGAAGTTCGAAAAGCTACGAGGCATAGTTGCTCTCTATGCAGATCCTCAAATAGAGCCTTGACCTCGCGATTATTCAGCTCAGCATAGACCCCAAGTAGTCCTTGCTGAGTAGAAGTGTGTCTACCACCATTATCAACCCATTCAAGTCGAGAGAGAATTCTGCTGATGAGTTTGTAACAGTAAATTAATATCTTTTTTGTCAGACCGAGTTGTCCTTGGTCGTTGTGGTCATCAGCTGAAGGTTTCAGCTCAACCTCCTTCGCTAATCTTGAAAAGCTCTCAAGCTGCTGTACCCGTTTCGAGACAGAGTTGGTATTTCTATCAAGTTGCTGAAAGAATCGTATTGCTTCGTCTGTTATTCCAACAAGTCGGGCAGCGGCAATGGTGATGCCAGTTGTGTCGTTCATGATCATTAGAATAAATCAAGGGAAATGCTGACACAATCAATATGAAACATTCCCGTAGGTGTAATTATACTAAAGCTTCAATAATGACACATGCTTATACTGCTACCCATGGTTCATCTGTATAGAGGCCTGTGTAGTTCAGTAAGACAGCTATTTTTAACGTTGCTCAAGCCAACCACAGTACTGAATTGGCGGGCAGGGATGTTGAGCACTACTGGTCAGATCACGGGAGTCTTCGTATTCGCTGCGCCACGCTCACTCGAAACATGGACCTGGCCTTTTCTGGGAGAGATGACATAGTGTTAGCAGGGAACCATTGTCTGCCTAACATTATATTTCTCTAGATAGTCGATTAAGAATAGCGAGCTTGTGCATATGCGTCGTCATGGAGGATCTTAGTATAGGGCTGCCTATCTAGAGTGGCTGAAACATCTCCAAAACCAACACGAAGGCATGGAACTCGTATCGCTCACGATATGCTATTGTTAGTATCTAGGAGGTCTTGTTTTCTTTTCTGGACGTGGCTTCTTTGATTCGTGACCTGGGCACTGGAGAGGCTATTGTCAGTGACCAATGGTGTCGTGTGGGCTGAAGAATTGTACCAAGAATTTGGCAAATGTTCCGTGAACGATCATGGGCCTCCTCAGATTGTTCAAGATATTAAATATGTAATAATGTATAGATAGTACCTATTACTGTGGCTTGAATCTCTCAGGTCCAGCGTGATCTTACTTGTGACTGAATTCAGATTCGATTAGCAAGGCAAGACGATCTTGGTTGAAATTAGAGTGGCCTCTGAAACTCACAGCTTCACAAACTCAATCGAGTTTCTCCCTACCACTGAAGGCCATTGTCCCTCCGCATACCGACAGCAAAGGCTCATGAGTAAACTATTTCCGAACCTCGGAGACTTGATCGAAAAAAAAACGTCGATTCAGCGACAGCCTCGCGTGACGTAAAGGCCCAAATCTCCTGATGTTGGCGGGGTTCTAGAATTCGGAGTCATAATTCCAGTACTTGAGTGCGATACAAATTGTGGATTGCGAATGCGGCTTTCGTAGCCCAGGCACGGGACACGTGGGAAAGGCTCCGCAGTGGATCAAGAAGGAACTCAATTTCCAGGCTCGCTTTCACGTTCTTCTCGGTATAACTACGCGACTGCAACGCTGCAGCTGTCACTGTTGGGATATATTGCTTTTTGAATCCTTCAATTGTTACCTTTCGACATGCAGAGATCACCAGCTCTGTATCTCTGGCATTGGTGCGCGTAGAAATACAAATGCCTCTCGCTGTTTACAGAGCAAACGCGGATGTTTCGGGATATTTCTAACCCTGTAATTGGGGTCAAACAGCAGACATGCCTAGCACATCCTTTGGGGTCTTTGGGGGTTGTGTCACCTTCTCCATAGGGCCCCCGGAGGTCAGATATGCTTACTCCCTCAGACCCATTGGTAAACGTCGGCGTCTGTTGGCGGCTCAGCAATGGAACTGGAACCCATCACTACAACGTCAGAAAAGAATCGGCTCACTCTTTTGCGGAATGGTAAGACGTTTCCACTGCGGGGATTGGGCAAAGCACATGGCTCAGTACACGAGACTGGCTTGAACGGTTTCTACAGTGGGCGTAGACCCCACGGGGTCACCTGGCTCTGCCGCATCTCCGCGGATAAAGGTATATCGTAGCGCGGCTCACAGTAACTTACAGGCCCACGACTTTACACCATATCGTAGTTTGGGTCCGTTTTAGAGTTTGACTGAATATGATCTGATCAAAAGCAATATCCAGAACCGGTTGATGCTCCGTGGCACCACAGAATTATCATTATGGGCTGACAGACGCTTCTGTTATAAGTTGAAGCATGTCGCTGCTATACATCCAAGATTTGACTCACCCAATTGCAGTACACCATATTATACCCAATTACAGCAAATACAATTGCTCTACAGCAAGTCTACAATGCTATCGTCAAGCAACGCGATGCGAACTGGCATCCTCCGAACAGGAAGGCTAGCCACGCGAAACACGGCACTTCTCGCACGTTCAGCAACAGCTCAGATTCAAACGACCCGTCGAAACTTTTCTTCCAGTCAACGAACACTCTGCGCAAGCTGTGCAACTTCAGGAGGACAATCATGCGCCCGGCATAACCCTCACAGTCGCGCTAGCGCCGGAAACATCACCACAAGCTTCAGTGCTAACAGTAGCCTCGGCAAGACTGCCGCTTACGCTACAGCTGCTAGCCCCGTCATTCCTAACGAACAATGGGCACAGGTCTTGGAAGAACGAGGTGGAGGTAAGCTAGCTATAATCTCCTATGGAATGAAGAAGAGACTCTGACGCAAACAGCTGTCCAATATAAAAAGATCCCTGTTCCAACACCAGGCTCAGATGAGGTTCTGATCAATGTCAAGTATAGTGGGGTCTGCCACACAGATCTTCACGCAGTCAATGGTGACTGGCCACTTGAATCGAAGATGCCTCTTGTTGGCGGTCACGAAGGTGCTGGTATTGTAGTAGCACGAGGAGAGCTCGTTAAGGATGTCGAAATCGGTGACCATGTTGGCCTGAAGTGGCTTCACGGCTCCTGCATGAGCTGCGAGCAGTGTCGACAGTCCAACGAATCACTTTGCTCAGAAGCCTCCCTGTCAGGCTATACTGTTGATGGCTCGTTTCAACAATATGCCGTTGGGAAAGCTGCTCATGTCGCGCGAATTCCCAAGGACTGTGACCTCGCTGGCGTAGCACCCATTCTGTGTGCTGGACTTACAGTCTACAAGGCTCTCAAGTCCTCCGGCGTTCGACCAGGACAAAGTGTCGTTATTGCCGGCGCTGGAGGCGGTCTTGGCACTTTCGCTATTCAATATGCCAAGGCTATGGGCCTGCGAGTGACCGCTCTTGATGGTGGAGACGAGAAGCGCAAGGTCTGTACTGAGCTTGGTGCTGACGTCTTTGTTGACTTCAAGACATCGACAGATATCGTTGGAGAGATCAAGAACGCTACAGGTGGCCTTGGCCCTGATGCTGTTCTGCTTCTTGCAGCCAGTGAGAAGCCATTCCAACAAGCTAGTCAGTATGTCAAGAGCAAGGGCACCATTGTCTGTGTTGGTTTACCAGCCAATGCTTTCATCAAGGCTCCTGTTTTTGACACTGTAGTTCGGTAAGTGGAACAAACCCTATTCACAGAACACGCATTAATAAGATATAACAGTGAAATCAACATCAAGGGCAGCTATGTCGGTAACCGACAGGACACGGCTGAAGCCATTGAGTTTTATAGACAAGGCCTCATCAAGGCACCATATAAGTAAGTATATCCATTACGTGCAATCACGGGCAAGACTAACACGGAACCTAGGATCGTCGGGTTGTCAGAACTCCAGAAAGTCTATGATATGATGATTGCAGGCAACGTTGCTGGCCGTTATGTGGTGGATACTAGCAGATGATGACCATGAATGTCTTTGATATTATGGAAGGTTCATTGAAAGCGTTTCTGATGTTGCTTGCGGAACAGGCATGATACCACGGAGGATTTGTGCATAACATGACAGGAATGATTCCTAGTTGCTGATATCTTAGCTACCTACGTTTAGCTCCTTGGCTATTGAATACAGGCAGGATGGACTTAATAACAATTTTAAGCTTCCCTGTACTGTATTAACATAACCTATTTATTTCTCATAAGATTCTCACAGCACATGTCCAGCAAAAGAAGATCATCTCTTCACCTCAGCATTGACTAGATAGTTGACAATTTCTTAGTAGAGGTATATACAATTTGCAAAAAGATCAAAAGAAAACTCCGGTACAGGGAATCGAACCCTGGGCTCCGCGGTACTGATCCCTCAGCTGAAGATGAGAGCGCGAAATGTTAGCCACTACACCATACCGGATGATAAGACTTGTGATTATGCTTTGGATGTCGCAGCGTGATCCCAAGTTGCTCGCAAGTGACATCAACATGGAGAGTAGGAATCAGGAGCTAAACTCCAGCCCGAACTCAGGCTATTGGAGCGCATGGATAAAGTGAACAACTTGTCGATCCCCTCTTTAAGCATGACGATCAAGCTTAAATCATGTAGCCGCCCCTCACATACCCCGCGGTCCGTTCTCAGCAAGGTAACCTTATGGTAACCGAGCAAATAGCGAGCTGTATATGCTACTTGTTATAGGGAGGCCTGCATGGGCATCGGATCATATGATGCATGGTATACGAGAGCTCCATAATGGAGATTTATCCTAAGAACGGGCTCTTTTTTAGGAAATGATCAGTGGTAGAACAAAGTATAAGAGACAGCAAAAATCAACGACAGAATGCAGTTTCTCTCTTGTTAAGAACTCTGTCAATAAAGTTCGCTCCTACAATGATTGTCTTGTCGGTAATCACTTCAGTTCTTGGTTTATGCTCAAGCTTTGCTCTTGGGTTCACCAATCCTATAAGAACAGGAAGTGATCCTCATATCGTTTATCAAGATGGAATGTGAGACTCCTCCCTTAACCAGTGCTTGCATGTTACGTACTAAACTTACTCTTAGGTACTATCTAACCTCGACAACGTGGACTAACGTTAGCATCACCAAAGCCCCAACCATCGAAGGCCTTAAGACAGCCGAGTCCCAACTCATTTGGTCTGACAGGTCCAATGCTACTAGAGCGTGCAACTTCTGGGCTCCTGAAATGCACAAAGTTGGTGATACCTGGTACGTGTACTTCTCAGCAAGTATATGTGACGAGGGCAATTGGGGTGCTATGCTGCCAACTTTGAGAGTATACGTTCTTAAAGGTGGTAAGGAGAATCCGTTGTCGGCGGATTATGAGATGCTGGATGCAATCATTCCCCCTAACTTCAATGCTGGGATGCTTGATGCCGTAAGTCAAGGCATGATCTTGGAAAGACTTATGACTAATGATGGCTTCAGACCATCTTTGAGATTGAAGGCACCAAGTATTTCCTTGTAAGTATCTTACAGCCCTTACCAAACTCCTGCTCTAATAGTCG